AAGGCTTATGAATTGTGCTCCGCTCGCAAACGAACTATAAAGATCGAGGCGTTCAAAACGGGATTACGGATTACTGACCAAGCATGGTTGGTCTGATTGAAATTGTGAGTCATTCGGTCTAATAAAAGCACTAAGGAAAGAATCTATAACGTGTAATGTAGAGCTTGGTATTGAGGGGGGGTACTTGTACTGGGGTATGCGAGCGCCGATGCCGTAAACGCGATTGGCTAGGCTAGCCAAGTTTCAAGCGGCCTTCCCTTAGCCGATTTCCTAGACACAGACTCATCATCACAGTGGGCGACTGCGAGCCTTCTCTGTAGCGGTGGAAACAGACGGCGTTTTAATCAAGTTCCGAAAAGTGCATGCGTATTTGGGACATGCAGAGTATCAATAATTCCTGCGAGATCCAACATTCTGGATGGGGGTGGGTGCCAACATTACGATGCACTTTTCAGAACTGATCAAAAAGGGACTGTTCCACGCGGCAGAGAAGCTCGCAGTCGCCAACGTGATGATGAGGTCTGTGTTCTTGGAAAATCGGCTAGGGAAGCCGCTGTGAAACTTGGCTAGCCTAGCCATGCGTTTCGCATCGGCGCTCCATCCCACAGTACAATACCCACCCCTCATACCAAGCTCTAAATTACAAGTTATGGATCTTTACCTTAGTGCTGTTTATTAGACGGTGACTACAATTTCACAGACCAACCATGTTTGGTAAGTAATCCAGCTTGAACCCTCGATCTCTATCAGTTCTTTTCGAGCGGAGCTTCAATCATGGCCCTTATGTAGTCATTGCTCCTGAGCAGGGTGAATCAGCCGTTGTTTCCATTCCAGAATTCTGACTCGGGAAACTCAGCCCCTTACCCCACCATTACGTCAGCCTTAGGTGATTCCACATACGCCCCTCCCCACCCTCAACCACCATACTCACCATCGTAGCTGCTCTACAGTATTTGATCCTCATACTAGACCCACCTTCGGCTTGGCCACTTTTCCCTCTTGAAGCAATGGATTACGATGAGATGTAGTTGGGTTCATAATGGAAGAGGAGATGCTGAATAATGCCTCAGTGGCGAAAAAAGCAGAAAAAATCCGTTAAGGACGCACAAAATGGGACCACTTTCTTTGCTCCACTTCTTTGACCACCGCTAATGTACGGGCTAGCAACCAACTAATAGGTCGTTTGCACATGTTAAACCGATAGCCGCTATTATTCCAGCAAAAACCATGCTTTGACTGATGACGCATCCCATGGGAAAATTTACAATACACACTCAAAGTGCATCTCATCTAATGAGAAGGACAATGCTCGATGCCGCTAGCAACACACTAAGGCGGAGCGCAGGCGGCAGAGGCGGAGCTCAGGGAGGATTGGAGCCCCAGGGTGCTGAACAAGCGCGCCTTAGACCACGAAAAGCCCTCATCTCGCTTCTTCAGGTCTCTGACTACAGCTTCCACTGATGCATGTACTTCCATGCTTGCACACACACTTTATCGTAACCTCTTGCTTTGAACGCCATCGAACGAGATGGAAGGTTAGAAAAGAGAATGGTCCCGATGTGACTATCCCATCGAATCCACAGACCTCCCCCCATCTTTGAAATTTTGACCTTCGTTAACCCGAACCGCCACCTCCATTGAGGATTGCGCACCGCACGGTTGACCCTGCTTCTGACCATGAGCCTGACGCGTTTGCTCGACGCATTCTCTCCTCGTTGAGAGAGCAGAGAGAAGTGCCTTCAACTGAGAAGTGTCTCCAGAACACATATGAAAAATCGATGGCACGAGATATTGCGGCCCCAGTGCCAATGCCCGTCGAGAGCGCTACGGTATACTGCCCTAAGTTCCTGAACTTATGTACAATCTTGTGGACCCATCGACTAGCACCCACACAACAAAGCAACCTTACTATTCAAATGTCACGGGGAAGGGTTGAAGGGGGAGGCGGGTGACAAGGTATGTACGAGGAGTCACTGTTGAACTGCTTCAAAGCTGGGGTTGCAACAATGACCTTAAAAACAATCAAATAACAAATCTGCTGACTGATATTAGGCCTGGGCAGCGTATTTGGGTTTCATTCAGATTGCGACGATTTGCTGGTTCAGCTTACACTTGGGCCCCAAAGACATCCGAAGCCCTAGCTGCCTGGTTTTGCTGAAGCGGTTGTAGGGTCGCAAAGAGCCAAAGAACAAGAGCCAAACAAAATGACCACTCGAATGTTTATTCTGTGGAAGATAAACTCATGATCTTCCTCATGAGAGTAGCCATTGCTGCTGTCTTCATAGAAACCATCCCTTTTTGCCGCCGCCTGTCGTTTCAGAACTCAGCTGGAGCAATCAGCCATGGCTCCGATCCCATAGACATTGATTTATCGCCGAGGACACAATTTGCATGCTAATGGAAATCGCGCGGTGAGCCGCGTGGCGACGCTTAGAAGACTGCTGAATAACCTGCCACAATAAATAGGAGGTGGGTTAATAAGTCGTGATGAATAGGTGCTAAATCAAATAGGTGTGGAGTTACAAGGTAAATTAGGGACCAGGGAAGGAGCGCAGACGGATCTCGTCAACCAAAACAACGGGAGGGACCTTAATTCGATGGCAGAGCTCCGCGCATACTACGAAGGGGTGAATCGTGGTCACAGGCGCCGGCACCTCCACAAGCTCACAGAGAGAGTCTACAGGACAAACCGCGCTTTTCAAAACAGTTTCTCGCATATTGTAAGGACGCATGTATGGACCATGTTTCGTTTGCACTAAACGGTTTTAGTAGGTCCGAAAAAGTTGTGAAGGTGCTAACAATTACAGTAGCGATCAAAAGTTTGAAAACTTTTATATTGTTAGACCTAGCGTAGCCAATAGACAATGAAATCGCCCCGAATTCACATGTTATATTCACAGTCAAGTGTAGAATACGATGAGCACATTTATTTTTCAAAATCAAAAATCGCAATCGAAAAATTGGATCTTTTTTATAGGAAAAGACGCTTCAAAAATTTGGGGACTCTTCAACTCTAATGCGAGTTCTTGGAAAAAAGGTCACGAATTCACATGAGAATTCAATATTTTGTTGAGTAGCTGAAAAATTTAAGCGCATCGTTTTTACTGACATGGAAGTGACTAGAACATAATTTTAGGATTTGAGTTGAGCCCTACACTTCAAAAGCGAAATCAAATTATTTGGTAGGATTCATTACCAGAAAGTATGTAGTTTGTGCGACATGCTGGCTGTTCCTTGGGGGAACAACTCAGTTAATTTGGATCTTGAATTGGTCGCTTTGCTTTTCTCTGGATTTAGAAAGGAGGCATTTATCAGATCATTTCCATGGTAGGATAGGAAAACCATATTATGGCTCGTTTCGACTATATTAGTAAGAAAGCATGTATTCCTCAAACTATCCTTGTATTTAACCCCGCTTACATTTTGCTGGATACTAATGAGAACTGGGGAATGGTCGGATACATGTTTATCTATGAAAATGCTTCCACTTTTTCTGACTATTGGAAGCTGATACCCAAAACGAGGTTTCCGTCTGAAGAACACTTTATAGAGATCACAACATCATTTTAAGAAGATAGAAATTCCCCTTGTCGCCGATCACGAATTTTCACATCTCGCCTTGGGCCCAGATAAGCCGTCAATGTGCGGAAGCCAGTTGGGCCATTCTGCTCTTTAATCCGTTGAATTGCTTTTTCTTGAAGGATCTTCCATAATATCTTGATATCCGTCAGTTCCCGGTCAATGTTGAGCTGCACTTGGACTTTCATATGACTTAAAAAAATAGAAAGAGTCGTTCCTTGGTTGGGGATGTCTGGGAGACCAGACGTGCCATCCACCCTTCGGAGCCCTTGAGAGGGGATAATTTTCTTGTAAGGATGCTATTTGTGAAGGTTTATTCTCTCCATGCCTGCCGACTCCAATAATCTTGAGAACTCTTTTTAATATTGCTTCTGTAGAGAATGAACTACAGAAAATACAATTTCAATTCCGGGTTCCGAACTGCATAGTTAAAAAGCTCTCCTGTAAGGATAGTGGTTCCTTTCAAATGAATTCATTTTGAAAATATATAATAATCGATGAAAGAAAAATCAACAGAACATGCAAACGTTGAAGAGTAGGAGTTATAATGGTGGGAACGGGGCAAAAGCTTCCAAACTTTTCACAAGTCATTACTTGAAAAAATCGTATTTCTCCGTTATGGTCTGCGATTTTGCGAAACTATTGAGTACGTCAAACTTCCCACACAGTTGGGTTGCGAAATTTTGACGCCATTGGGAATTCAACAATAAACAGAATCTTGCACCACATTTTCTATATTGCTGCAACCGTTTCGCGAAAAGAAAACATGTAGTCCATGCATGCGTGCCCGCTGCGCAAAGAACCGTTTCGGGAAGCACAGTCTGTCCTGAAAGACCGCTCTTGTCAGGGAATCGAATAACGCATGCACTATGCAATCCTTACTTCTGCTAGGTGCCGATTATTTGGCTGAAAAGACAAACACACTGACGGAAACATCGCTATACTTCACACTTCCTACACGGCCAAAACAAATTCACAGTCCTTTACAATTTTGAACGAAAGTCGAAGATTGGCCCCGGCAAACACGTGGTGCAGCCCCGGAAAACCAAGCTACTTTGCAAGTTATTTCAATCACTTAAAGAATTACGAGGAGGATTCAATAGTAAAAATGCGAAAGGAAGCATATTGACATCGGTTGATTTGATTTGTTACACAAACATAAGCATTTCTAGAGAAAAAAACACCCATTTGCACAAATCCCATCATGCGCGGAGAGAAGTAGCAAGATGTGGAAATTCAGAATGAGCGGCTTATCGGAGAAAGGAAAGGTTCAAAACTAAAATTGAAATGTGTATCTGTAGTGGAAGTTTACGAAGTGCACAGTCAAGAGTGCTAGAAGAACATAAGCACAAAACAATTCCATAGAGTGTTAGAGATCTAGGGGAATTGTTCAGAATATTTTTGAAATCTAAAATCTCACCTTTGATGTCTAATTCTGCTGTTGCGGTCAAGACGGGGTCTGCGTTCACCTGACACGAATAGTTGCCACGATCGTCTTCCTAAAGAAAGCATCAGAAGCGCGAAAACTGGAACGACACAGGAACAGCTGGTACACTCACTGCTATCATTTTATCGAAATAAGAGCACAAAAGCATCAAAACTAGAAGTCACCGTAGCGCTCAATCGGCTTCATAGTTTTATTACTCACCTCTTTTGTTGGATCCCAATATGATCTTCTCTCAACACGTGAAAAGGGTCATCCACGTAAGTAGTCTATACCCCCACCATCACATCGCCATTACGTAGGCTGCTTCTCTTGGTATATGAATTTGAAACAAGTCGACAAAGTCAACTCCTAATTTTCCATCAAACTACCATTGGAGCAGGGGCAAGATGGTGGTGGAGAGCAAGGGGACGGTAAGCGGAGATATGATTGAAGGAACGGCAAATGTTTTAGTTTAGTTTACCTCTTTCATTCACTTTCTCGTCAAAGTTTCATCATATTCGCCAAGAATGGTCTCCTCTCCCACCAAAACATCGTCAACATCCATAAATCGCCTCCCTGTTTGCACTTTTTGAAAAGATACTTATCCTGTCAACCGAAGGCACGATCCCCCGTCCATAATGTTCCAGCGGAAAGAGATCACGACATGACTCTTATTGAAAGCGGGTTTTTTTTTACAAAAAAGCAGCTCACTGCAAATAAATTAAAGATGGTCAGTGATGCACAAAATAAGAAAATCTAAGAAAAATGGCCTAGAACCAGAGAAATGCGATCCCTTCTTCATCTTGCTTGTTAATTCGCGCATTGATGCGATTCCCATCGGTGCTGTCCTCTTCAACACGATCTCTCTGCGAAACGGCTAAAGATCTAGGTACGAGAGTACGCGAAGGGAGGCGTACTGCGCCAATAGCGCGCCGATTGCGCAGCGGGAAGCCATGCAAGATTGCCAGCGACATATCTCGATGCGAGTTGCGTGTCGGTCTACGTGTCTCCTCGCCAGGTAGGTTTCCCCTTCCTATATATCCGCCCTTACCGTGAAATCCGTCGAAGGCACAACCCAGACAGGGGTCATGTGAACGATCCCCTTCGATCTGTGAGATAGACCACTAGATGACTACCACAGATGTGGCATTCCTGTGTACAATGTCACCCGACAAGAACGCTAGGGCCTTGCAGAGCGAGTTAATGCAGCTGCGAGTTTTTTTATGAGGGGTTGTTTGACGCCCTCCCTCTCATCATACTCTCCTCTCCGTACTCAAACCTTTGCCGCCGTCAGCAAGGCCGTATTACGAGGGTTAGCAAGCCCTTGACCCGAGCTGAGCGTTTTTTAAGGATTCTTCTTTTCTTTGCTGCCGGCCCATTTCGCACAACTACATTCGTATTCGTGTGAAAAAAATCACATCACTTCGATACTGGGGCATGCCTTTGAAACAGCATTACGAAAGAGATGGCATAGACAACGCAGAGGCAGGTGTCAAACTACTGTTATAAACAAGTAGGAGTCCTACACCGATAGACGAGACATTTAAGCTGAACCACACATCTTTCAGTGAGAATACCAGTTTCAAGGTACAACTTTGAACGAGTATTCCACAAAAGATATCCACAAACGCAAGGAAAAGGAAAATGACACAAAGCCAAGCGATTGATTAACGAGGCATGCGATCCAAGTATCAAAGTCCGGATTGGATACTGCTTAGGCCATCCGACTATTCTTCCCCTCCGTCGATAAACTGGTGCCAGATTCATCTGGGAGAAAGAGGACCATAACTTTTACAAGGCAAGTCTGGCATTTCGTCGCCAACAAGTTCTTGATAAGATCGAAGATAGCTAAACGCGAGAAACTCATGAAACTGCTAGGATAAAAAGGAGAATAATTATAAGAGAAAACAAAGAGGAAGGTCATAAATGAAGAAGTGAAGAAAAACACTAACCTGAACATTTTTAATCGTCAGCACCCACTCGTTGTTCAATGGGCCCATTTTCGACTTCAGCTCGTATTTATCCTTTTGGCGAAATATCTAAAAAAAAATGTAGATTCTCAATCCTCATTCCCACTATCTCGAAAAGCAATCGGCACCAGGAAAAAATCGAAAATCCTAAATCCTCAAGACTTACTTTCTCATCAAACGAAATCAGTCGTGGTGGCGTACTTGACCTGACAAAGGCCACCTGAATTTTTTTCTTTGAAAATTCGCTAGAACAATCATGCACAGAATTGCTTAGTGAGCTTACCATATGTCGTCCAAGGTTATCCACCTTACAGGTTAGATCAACATCTTGTCCGAGCAACGCTACCGTGTCACCCATTGAATCGCTGAGTATCACCGGAGGAGAATGTCGCGTGCATACTACAAATCAACTAATAGAAAGAGTACCAAAAAGGCGAAAAATTCGTTATTTTGAATAACTTGCTAGTTTTTCCGAGCTCTTTATAATAGATGGGGCGTTGGCATTAATTGAATATGTAGGTACAGATTTTTGCGCTTGAAGTTCCTTATCTACAACCTTTTTGTCTGACACTTGAGGTGTCCACAACAGACGAGAGTGGTGTCAAGGTGACCCTATTTGTATAAATGCTTTGGTTTTCGGATTGCGATTCAAAACACGAGCTATGCTATGCTAGCAAAGCCACTCGTCACTGCGCTGACCGCCGTTGAACCTTTCTTTTGTGCCATTGTCAAGTTCCAATTGGGGGAGGAGACGATCCCCTGCTCAGAGCTGCCTCGTCTCCTGATGCGGGAAAGGCAAAAAATCCCAAATCAAATAATATTAAGTGCACGCACCCTTCCTAATCAAACGCACTTGAGTGCGCCAACGAAATTCGAGACGTAGGGCGTGCATGGAAGCCGCGGAATAGAGGCGGCTCTCATCCTAACACCGGAATCCCTCCTTCAGAGAGCGAGTCCTTCCGAGTGGCGTCAAAAACACCCACACTGATCCTTTTGGCAAGTTGAACGTGATCAGGTAATATCAAGAACCACCAGCGGAATTGTCAGGTCTTCTGTCCACCTACCCGTGAGAAGGGATTAGAATGATGCTCCGTCAAGCCACATGGGCTGCAGGAGTAGAGACAAAGAGTGGTGTTCAGGATGTCAAGAGCGTAGGCTCATATTCGCGCCTCCAAGAGGCGTTGGCTTTATCAGTGTCGAAACAGTTCCATATGAATACTTGAAGATACGGTTAAGCTCTGAGAACCAAAAAAGATTTTGCAGAAGTGACAAGTGGCGGTTTCACACCATACATGTTCCTTGGATCGAATCACCCAACGCACGATACTCCCCATCGTTTTGAAAACAAATATTTTGTTGCAAATCGTCCGGAGAGTGGAGGTGAGCTCTCGTCTGCAAATTGCTATAAATGACAGCGTAGGTCGAGCACACGTTCGAATGACTACTTCCGAGTGGATGCAGAATCCCATGGTACGTTCCAAATTCGCGACCCATGTCGACCCACTCTGTTTTTACGTTTAACTACCAGCTCGAACCCCATCTAACACATGTATGTATTTAGATGGTCGAAATGACAGCAGCAAAACTACTGATGGACTAATAAAGATGGTTGAGGGGAGCCTTTCCGGGAAAGTTTAGCATTTTTTTCAACATATGTACATGGCAGCTGTGTTTCCTTCTTCTTCTTCTCCCTAGCGTTAGTCCCGCGTCGCAAGGTTTGCTGTCTTTGTCAGTCGTCGCCACTTTAATCTGTCCAGGGCTCCTCTCTGTGGCCATGACTTCACTTAGATCCTTCATGATCACGTCCTTCCACCTATTCTTCGGGGCTCCTCGCGGTCGCTTGCCTTATACTTCGAAGTCCATCGTTGTTCTTATCGGATGGTCCTGTGGCCTCCTTAGCACATGCCCATACCATCGCAGACGTTGTTCTCGAACCTTTAGTTGGACAGGGGCAGCCTGCATTACCGCTCTGACGTTCTCGTTTCTAACCTTGTCTAGCCGCGTCCTCGCCAGGCCCATCTCAGCATCACCATTTTGGCAAAATGGAGGTGCCGTTCCTGATTCTTGTTCAGAGCTCCATCGCAGGCCTTACCACTGTCCGGTACATCTTCCCTTTGAGCGCTCTGGAGCACCTTCGATCGCAGAGGATTTCAGTGGACTCCCTCCATTTCATATATGCAGCGTTGACCCGAGCCTTCACCGCATGATCCACACTACCGTAGGGTGCCAGATCGCTTCCAAGGTATCCAAAGTTATCATCCTTTCGATGGTCTCACCATGGCCATCCACGATCGGCTCTGCCCCCTCCTCGGAGCTCAGGAACTTATTTATTAATTAATTTATTTATTTACTGTGCGCCCAGAAGACGCGCTTTAACAAGTCAAGAAAGAGGACAGATAGAGGTAGCAGTGTTAAGGACTTCAATGATAACTAACAAGAACATAAATAGGAAAACAAAGTGTAAAGTAATAAGATGAGGGCGATTGCTGCATCACAAAGGGCTCTAGAGTAAAAAAAAATCAACAAAATACGCGCAAGTGAAAGGACCGGATAGACTGCAGATCGAATCAATGCAAATAAAGAAAGAATGAAAAAGCTTGGTCTTCTTACCAAGACAAAAGTAATTGTTTGTTCTTTTCGTTTCTATCGTGAATATGGGTCCCAAGCCAGTGATTCAAGGGTGGATAGATCCGCGATTTTTCTGAGAAGGCTTCCTTTAAGCATGATGGTGGCCGTAGGGCAACATGCTCATCATGCTCCCTCGATTCTTGTATTTCTTCGGTCGGGTACCCTCTCCTGATGGTTGCCTATTGCCTCAGTCTCTTACTGATCTAAGCGACATTAGAATAAATAATCATACTATATAATGATATAATGATATTCGCTACTAACAATAATGAATAATAAATCGATAATGGTAATGTGACATAATAAATATACGTATATATAAGTATGTATGTATAATATGGTATATAATAATATAATGTATGTGCAAATAGTATATACAAATATTACTTGTATATACAGAGGAGCCAAAAATGAAATTTTGACAATGTCGATCGAGCGATTTGTTCCTTGGATAGACTGCCACCGTTACAAAAATCCTCAAGTGGAATATTCCTGGAATGTCCCTTTGTACGCAGACGCAGGACGTTTCATTGTCGACCGGTGTGCAATTTCCTAGAGACATTAGCCCAGCTATGCAAGTCCCCTTCCACCAGCGTTCAGAAAATTTCTTGTTGATCCACGATCCGTTGAGAGCCTCGTTGACCTCGTACCGTGCATCATATTCCCGTGAGACTCCCCTAGCAAGGCTATTATGAAGTCTTTTGATGAACTGAAATTGCTCTTCAAAGTTCAGTTGGGACCGGATGAGCGGGGGAGGGAGGGAGGGGTAGAAGGAAGGGGCAAGGAAGGGGAGGCTGGAAGGGAGGGGAAGGGGAGAGAGAAAAAGGGAGGGAAGGGGGAGAGGAGAAAGGGAGCGAGAACATGGCGCTGTCATGCGCCGGAGAGAAGGGTATAAGGGGGGGGAAGATGGGGGAAGAGAGACTGAGAGAGAACGACCGTTTTAAAGAGTAAGGTCTATAATTATGTTGACGTATTATTCTAATCCGGTGTGGTGATTGTGATAACACCCACGATGGCTACAAAAACATCGAACGAGCACACTGCACACTCAGCCTCATTCTACATGGTGCAGCCGGAGTCGACGGGCGGTAGAGGGGAGGGGAGAAAGCAGAAGGGGAGGGGGAAGAGAGGGAGAGAAGTGAGGGAGAGGCGAAAGGGAGGGAGAATCGCCGGTGAAAAGGGGTAGAAAGAGGTATAACACATTCAATAGTGAGGTGGGTAATGGAGTACATCATGCTGCTATTCCGTGATTCCTCACTACAGTGTGATGCACGCGATGGCGGGCGGAGCAAGCTTGGTGTACATAATTAATATATACAATTATATATATATACAACGCCAATATATATATTATAGCAATGTATTATTATTGTATATTATTATGTAAATGATTTATACAATATATTATATGTAAAGGATATTTAGTATGTTATATTATACATATAAAGATATATCTTCTTCTAATATAGTAATATAGAATATATGTATATAGATATGTAATTATCGACTCCATCTATACTGGTTTTAACAGATCAATACGAGTAAATAGCATGAAGAATCGCCTGATGGAGTACAAAAAGCTTCTGCGCGAGTCCAAAACGCTCATCGCTCTTCCCACATCTCTCTTTCGATTTGAACTGATAAGAAAATTCTCGAAGAAAACTTCTGCGCGACCGTCAAAACCAATAGCAGTTGTTACCAAATGCTAATAGCAAATCCCCGAAAGATAGTATGGTTCATAACAGAGTCTCTCCCGATGGATGTGCTATGTTACGTATGGGTTAGCTCTGCTGATCTCTCCTTTGAGAAATATGAAAATCAGTTCGAAGATCATCAAAAGGTGGTCTCAATAGACAATATGTTGTCCTTATCCAGTAAGCAGTCGGGTTAATACGTTTGCCCATCGTTGGAATTCGGCCGCTTCATACACTTACGAATCGACCAAAGCCGTTCCAAAAGCACACTTTCTCAATATCGCAGTGCATTTTCCTCGCTGGTCTTTAATCCGATGAAGTTCGCTGTATCGGTACTTTCAAAGAACAAGATCTTCAACACTTTTACCACCCGGTGAATAATCAGTCAGCACTTTAGAAGGAGTGGAGAGGCACAGAAGTCGACCACCTCCTGCACACATGGACGTCACAGGCCTGTGCCAGGGCAAGAAGATCAGATTAGAGCACCTTTTGCCCGAGTGATCACATTGACCAATTTCATCAGTCGGTGAATTTAGTTTTTAATCAAGTTCCATCCTCTCACTTCAAAAGATATCATCACACTCTAAGAGATGTCGCCCTACACTTGTACTTGTACTTGTTTATTACATAGGTATAGCCCACTTTGAGGCAGAAAAAACAGGTAAACAGAAACCAAAAAAACGGAGCAGAGATGACATAATTGGGAAACAGTTTCAATCGGCACCTATAAAAAAATGGACACATAAAAAAACAAAACTAAGAGCTACGATGTCAAATATGTTTCCAAGGCTGCTTTGAAAGAACTTGATTTTCCAGCAGAGCACCCGATTTGAGCAGTCTCTCAAACTCCGAACAAGTCCTATTCAAGAAAAAATGGCGCCTAGCTTTCCGTTTTGCTACTCCTAGGTCCTGATCTAAAAGGATCCATTACATTTTCTATTGTATTTTCTACCAACAACCATGACATTTAATAGCCCATGAACCTTCTATCCTCCGCCGGTGGAGTGGTTTACGCACAAACAAAATTGTAAATCTT